GTAATAAATGGTGTTGGGAAAACTGGCTAGCCATGCACAGAAAGCAGAAACTGGACCCCTTCCTGACATCTTACACTAAAATTAACTCTAGATGGATTAAAGACTTAAACATAAGACCTAACACCATAAACAGCCTAGAAGAAAATCTAGGCAAAACCATTCAGGACATAGGCGTAGGCAAGGACTTCATGACCAAAACACCAAAAGCATTGGCAACAAAAGCCAAAATAGACAAATGGGACCTAATCAAACTCCACAGCTTCTGCACAGCAAAAGAAACAGTCATTAGAGTGAATCAGCAAACCACATAATGGGATAAAAATTTTGCCATCTAGTCATCTGACAAAGGGCTGATATCTAGAATCTACAAAGAACTAAAACAGATTTACAAGAAAAAAACAAGCCCATTTAAAAGTGGGCGAAGGATATGAACAGAAACTTTACAAAAGAAGACATACATGAGGCCAACAAACATATGAAAAAAATGCTCGTCATCACTGGTCATTAGAGAAATGCAAATCAAAACTACATTGAGATACCATCTCATGCCAGTTAGAACAGTGATCATTAAAAAATCTGGAGACAACAGATGCTGGAGAGGATGTGGAGAAATAGGAACAGTTTTACACTGTTGGTGGGAGTGTAAATTAGTTCAACCATTTGTGGAAGACAGTGTGGCGATTCCTCAAGGACCCAGAAATAGAAATTACATTTGACCAGCAATCCCATTACTGGGTATATATCCAAAGGATTATAAATCATTCTACTATAAGGACACATGTACACGAACATTCATTGCAGCACAGTTTACAATAGCAAACACCTGGAACCAACCCAAATGCCCATCGATGATAGATTGGACTGGGAAAATGTGGCACATATACAACATGGAATATTACGCAGCTATCAAAAACAGTGAGTTCATGTCCTTTGTAGGGACGTGGATAAACCTGGAAACCATCATTCTCAGCAAACTGACACTAGAACATAAAATCAAGCACCACATGTTCTCACTCATAAGTGGGTGTTGAACAATGAGAACACATGCACACAGGGAGGGGAGCATCACACACTAGGGTCTGTCGGGGGGAAATAGGGGAGGGACAGTGGGGTGTGGGGAGTTGGAGAGAGATAGCATGGGGAGAAATGCCAGATGTAGGTGATGGGGAGGAAGGCAGCAAATCACACTGCCATGTGTGTACCTATGCAACAATCTTGCATGTTCTTCACATGTACCCCAAAACCTAAAATGCAATAAAAAATTTAAAAAATACTAAAAATTAACCGGGCGGGGTGGCAAGTGACTGTAATCCCAGCTACTGGGGAAACTAGGTGGTAAAATCACTTGAACCCATGAAGTGGAGGTTGCAGTGATCTGAGATTGCCCCTGCCTCCACCCTGGCAATAGAGTCAGACTCCGTCTTAAAACAAAACAAAAAAACAACCTGAGTGCATGGACGTGCAAAATCATGCAAGAACTATTAGGGCAGTTAGTGCCCTGCTTGGATTCTTGCTAAGGTTTCAGCAGTTTTGCTTACTATTGCTTTTGTACCATCAGTGCAAATATTAACATATAACATATTTATGTTATTATGAAAATAATTGTAATTTTGAATTCTTTAAAATATAATCATCTTAGAAATCCCCTCCATGGGCCTTACTTTGAGAACGGATGCTCTAAGGGGAGAAAGTACAGTTTACAAAAACGGAATAGAGTAAATATTTTCTTGATTAAACTCCTCTTAACTAATTTGCCAGTGAACCTAACTTCCATTCCTTGTGTAACACAATAGCTGAATCTCAGGGCTTGTAGGTTGCCCTTTACTTTACATTTATTTCTGTTCCCACCAGTAGAGTTACCTGCTGAGCACGCGTCAGCTGTATTTGTTCTCAACCAGGTAAGACAGTTCACTAATACCTGTAATAAGATAGTTTTAATGGTATAAATAGATAAAGTATGAGTTTAAAAAGAAAAAGCTAATGTTTCCAAAACCAACTTAAAAACTTTGAAATAACTTACTATAGAAGAAATTGCTGTCATGATATAGTGTGAATGAAATTTGTCAAAGATTAGGGAAAAACTCGCAAAAATCTAGAAGGCTTCTGCGTTCCCTCACAGATATCTTTAATTTCTTCCCATATTATAAAGAAATCAAAGCTGGAAATTGTGATGATGTGTTAGGTATGTTCTTTGTAGGAAAGAACAATGAAACTCCATCTGCAGACCTGTATTCAGATAATAGGCTTTGGCTCACCTTCAAAAGATTAGTGAATGTGTGTACACATGGATATATTTTAAGTTTAAATGCAATTCATAAATTAATGTCTGTCTGGTTTTTAAAAAAATTTCCCATTTAAGCAGCTGTCCCAGTGACCTGATTTATTACTGGTCAGGATCACATTAAATAAGATAGTTTCTCAGCTACCATCCCTGAACTAAGAGCAAATTTTCATTTGTTTTTATGATTATAAAATATAGTCTCTTCCATTATTGTACTTTGTATCTAAGGCTGGATAAGACTCTGTTGGTAAAAGATTTAGATGACTTTTTAGAAATACAGCTATTACAGGTCAGCTTTTGTAATGATATAGGGACAACCTGAAGGTGCCATAAACTTTTTCTTTTGGTGTGCTAGTGTTTTGTTGAATTGGAAACTGCTTGATATAAACAAACTATGTTGGGCCTTGGACATTTTCACAGAAATTTGCATGACATTTCATGAAGAATGAGAATTATATCAAATGTTGTGGTTATCTATAAAAATAAGCTTATTTGTTAATCACATGTGAGGGTTTGCTGGCTGGTAGCAATTCATTGACATCAGCTTTATCATGGGTAGATGTATATACTGCCATTTATAGATGCATCATGACGTGCTACAATGACACAAGGTTGGGAAGCAAATGACCTGGCTTCTCTACCTGGCTCACCAGTCATCATGAGTCAGTGAAGATGGTATTCCCAACTCCCTGGCAGTAGAGTGTGAAGTATGAATTGTTTTTTTCCTAGAAGTAGGGAATTGATTCACACTCTCATAGTCTGTTACAAACAGTACACACACTGGCAAGCTGACTGGCTAGAGCAAAGCAGCTTTGTCTGCTACTAAATTGCTAAGAAATTAAACAGTGTTAGTATTTTCAGCACCAGGATGTATCACTAGTACAGCTAACCAAACACTGAAATTATTACTAAACATAAAGGGATCTCTCCAAATTCCTGATTTTATAATGATCACATAATCATTGGCAGCAGTGTGGCTGACAGTGAATTATAGGTTTTTTCCTTCTTTCTGAAAATATTTATTGAGCATCTTCTATGTGCCACACTGTTCTATGATTGGGGATCCAACTGTGAATACAATAGTCAAAAAAAAAAAGCCCTGCCACTGTAGAACCTAAATTCCAGGAGGGGATACATAGGCATAGACATGTTTGTACATATATTTGCTAAAGGGAAAAAAGAAAAGGGGAATTAAATATTATTTAGGGAGGATGATGAAATTCTGATAGGGTGACCAGGGAAGTCCTCACTTAGGCCATTTCTTTAGCATAAACTTCTAAAGGAAGAACATAATCTTGAAGAGGTAGTCTCTTAGATTATTTTTAAGTATTTTTAAACTGAGGTCTGTATGGTTTGTTTGAGAGAACTACTACATTTTAATTTTTACTAACTTTAACTGAAATCCAACATTTCTTCCAATCATGAGTAGAGATAGCCAATTGTAATGGTATTGGAAGAGTCTGTAACAAAGTCACAGATAGGTGTCACAGATATTTTCATATCACATTACAGTTGTTATAGACATCCCAAAATCTATGCTTATTACCACTTATAAATTATGGTAGTTACTATCCCTGCAGTTAAATGTTGGTATTTAATATCTTAATAAAGCACCTGTATTATTTTTTAAAATATATGTATTGACAATTATATTTCAAAATAATAGATTTTCATGTATCCTTACATATTATGTCTTATGAATTTTAAAGCATTTTGAGAAAGACGTTAAGACTTCATGAGATTGCCAAAAGAGGTTCATGGCATAGAAATGTTAAGCTTTAGCTTAATCCCTAATTGAGTACTTTCTTCTACCTCCCACAGGTGCGGCACACTTTTGATATTTATCCCTCACTCAGAGATTACTCAAATATATCCTGAACAGATGGGAAGGGTTTTCCAGATAATTCCTTAGAATTCTGATTGTGAAAGATCCTTTTTTGCTTCCTGCTCAATTCAAGCCACACACTAATTTGCAGAATAATATAGCTAGTCAAGCAGAAATTTGGCTTCCTGGAAAATGACAATGTAATTTTGAACAGAAAATCAACTTTTAGGCTTCTCAGAAAGATATTTGAAGGATCTTTAAGGCAGTGCAGTTCAGTTTATGGGAAAGAGGGATATAAAAATTCTGAGTTAGAATCAGCTCCCACTCACGTATATCAGCCTGTTAGCCACTTTTCCCTCCATGGTGATGACCAAGTGGGTCTGTCCAAATTGAGAGGTCATGGATTATCGGCCATGATACCTTCTCATTGACCAACTTTGGGAAATAAGAGGAAATACATACGTTCAACTGTCTTAGCAAGGTGGCCATAGAAATAGAACTGAGAACATCTTATTCAAGTGAAAAGGAGGAGAGGGGTGAGCACGGTTAAACGGGTACTCCAGAGAATTTTGCCCTGCCACCACATGTTCTATGCTTTAGATCTCTTTGAATATATTCTACTACCTCTTGTCATGAATAAAAAATCAAAAGTAAAAATTATCAACATCTTGATGTTGCCAGAATCCTGAGAGAGAAAACTGTTAACTGTATAATTTTCACATTTTAGACAAACTTTATGCTTGTTTCTAATGTGGAGGGAAGTCAATTGTGTGTCATTAAGCCTGTTTTATATCTTCAATTGTGCCCTTTAGTTCTAAGAAACAGATGGTTTAGAAGTGTGATGAAAGCTGTGCGTCTGATGAACTCATTTCCATAATTTATTTTTCTTTACAGGTTGGTGAAAGATGCTCCTTGGGATGAGGTCCCGCTAGCTCACTCCCTGGTTGGCTTCGCCACTGCTTATGACTTCTTGTACAACTACCTGAGCAAGACACAACAGGAGAAGTTTCTTGAAGTGATTGCCAATGCCTCAGGATATATGTATGAAACTTCATACAGGAGAGGATGGGGATTTCAATACCTGCACAATCATCAGCCCACCAACTGCATGGCTTTGCTCACAGGAAGCCTAGTCCTGATGAATCAAGGTGTGTGTGGACACAGCCGAGGTCATGCCTGAGCTGACAGAATTCATACTTGCCATGTTGTGAGCAAAGCATTTTTATAACCATTCTTAGTACGTATTCATGCTTAGATCCTAACTAAATCCACGAGATGAACTAATCCCTAGAGTATCTCTTATTTGAGGGACATCTCTTCCTTATTTTCTGCTAGTGTATTAGCCTGCACATTATCTAATTATGGCTTATGATTATCCCAGAACAAATCCTCACAGCGCAGGATCAGTGAAGAATATTCATTTTCCAAAGAATTTTTGACAGTGAAGACAGCCAGCCTGGAATAAATGAAATATTAAAAAGCTAAACAGGTGCTTTGTTATTTGAAATGAAGATTCCCAGCACACAGATGTAAATCATAACACCACCACTATTTTTTTCCTTGTAAGATTTAAAACAACCAATCCGGATTATTTACATCAAAATTGGAAGCAACTTCTATGGATTGTGTAGTTACTTTGCTTTGTCGTAATATGTAATTGCCAATATTACATTTTCTTTGTTCTTAACTCTAAATTACAACTTCTATAGAAATCTATAAATTACTAAGATTGTGTTTAAGAAAAGCAGTCCTAAGATCACAGGAAATTATCAGAAGATTAAATATATAACTGGAGCTTGGAAAATGAACAAAATTTAACTCAATTACATTCATCATAAGAATTAATGAGCATTTTGTTGATTTCCAACATCAGATTTTACCCAAATCTAGCTTTCTTTCTTATCACATCAACCAACTTTCACTTGTAATTAGGGTTTAGAGGAAAATAAACTAACATTAACTGAGCATATGACATGTGCTAGTCCTTTTCCATATTTTATTCCATTCTCACATCAACCATATAAGGCAGCTGGGATTTGGGCCAATTTCTGGCCATCCATGAAGTTCAGTCTCTTTCCACGGTATGTTGTTGCCTCTCTCAGAAGGGAAATTCCATTTATAATAATTTAAACAAAGATTAATTATAAGAGTGAATTTTCGTGCTAGCTCCCCTTGTCCCCTACTCTCACAAAAACATAAAGAAAATTAAAACATCAGGCTGGGTGCGGTGGCTCACACCTGTAATCCCAGCACTTTGGGAGGCCGAGGTTGGCAGATCACTTGAGGACGGGAGTTCGAGACCAGCCTGGCCAACATGGAGAAATCTTATCTCTACTAAAAATACAAAAAATCAGCTGGGTGTGGTGGTGCGTGCCTGTAATCCCAGCTATTCAGGAGGCTGAGACAGGAGAATCACTTGAACCTGGGAGGCAGAGGTTGAAGTGACCCAGATCCCACCACTGCACTCCAGCCTCAGCAACAGAGTGAGATTCAGTCTCAAATGAATAAATAAATAAATAAAACACAAAGGAAAATAAAACATCAAAATGCAAGCAATGTGAGAATTCACTAATAAACCATTTATAAGGCCTGTGAAGAGACACCATCATGAAATGGTGAAAGGATCCCTGGGGCGAGCCAAATATCTGCTTCAGGTCTTAAATTTAATTTTAAGTTTTATTTTCTTAAATAAATTTTTGTTTAAGGAAAGGGGTAGAGTTTCTTTCTTCAGTCTTTGTAAATAAGTTATTCCAAATAATAAGCAGTCACCAAAAATACTGGTTTGGATTGAATCAAAAGACGTCATTTTGCCCTGGCAGGAATTTTCCTATACATTTATTTTCTGATTAAATTTATGGTGGCCCTGGCAGACACTCTCCCAGAGAACCCACGTAAGTACACACATGTATGACAAGACTGGGCAGAAGAAGGTAGAAGTCCGATGGAAAGAAGACAGGTGTGAAATGTTTAAATGATTACACTGTAGTTACAGTAACTCCAGAGAGTGAAATAAAAAATGCCATGAAGAGCCTTATGGTTAAATATAAAATGAGTGTATTAACTTTGAATTCAAGAGAGCAGTGTTCTTTCAGTAATTTTCTTCATGTAACTTTGAAGATGGGTAGGAGAACTTAGGTGAAGATAAAGAACACTCCAGGCAAGGCATAAGGGTGGCAGAAGAAAAATTCAGGGCATAGCTGCAGTTAACAATGTCAGTACCTTGTATTGATGGAGGTTTGCAGTTTACAAAGTATTTTGGTAGACATTGCCTCATATCTTCTGAAGAGGGTTGTTGTAAAGAACAAATAAGGAAAATTAGGTAATGTGATGTCCCGGGAAGAGTGGCCTGGTTTTAGTCACATTAGTATCTGGTGGGAGACAGGGGGCACCGAGGAAAAGGATGAAGATAACTGGAATTTTAAACCAGAATGGTAGAGAATGGAAATTGAAAACTATCTGGAATATTGACATATCAGGTATGATGCTGGGTGGCAGAAGAGGCCAGGGTGTAATGAATAGTCACCTCTGCCTACCCAAGCCTGAGAGCTGAGTTGACCCCATTAGTCAGGAGCCAAATCTTAGCCTGGAACTTGTATTTAGGCCGAGAGCTGGTTGGACCTGGGCCTCTGGAAGCCCCACACCTGGCACATAGTAGGCCAAGGTAGTGTGGTCAACATGTTTGTGGACATAAAGTAATGTGGCTACACCCACACCAGGAGACAGTGGGCTTTATCTTATTCTCAAGGGCTGCGTGTTTTAAAGTGAAACCTTAAATCTAAAGACCTAGGTTCAAATTAAAGTTCTATTTTTAATCATGTGCCAGAGGTCTTGAACAAGTCAGCCTTTCTGGCTTTGGAGCAATAACACATAACTGGGTTGTTAAAAGAATTAAGATTCTGTTCAGTGCTATATAAATTATAAATGCTATAGAAATGTGAGTTGTTATTGTCAACTAAGTACAAGAATTCTAGAAAGCTAGGATTTCTGAGTTAAAAGGTTTTATAAAATTTTTTAGACTTAATTTTCAGTGGGGAGATTGAAATGTGACAGATGGAAGAATTGCTTAGATAAAATCATGTAGCTCATGTTTTTGGCAGATTCAGGGCTCCTAGCTGATTTTTTTCATTACTAGTGTGCCTTTCCAATGGTTTCTCAGCCCCACTGTGCTGCCTTTTCAGAGCCTGTGGAATCTAAAGCACATAAAGGATGAGAGGTTGCCTTCTAATGACAATACAAATTGAAGACTGTTTAACATTTATAATATGTGTAGCCTATTATCAATTCTGTAAAAGTAATGATGCAAGTTTTGTGAAGGGATAAACTTTTAAAAATATTTTCAAGTATTATTCGTTGGAACATTCAATAAAAGCCTTAATATATAAATCCTTTCTTGCCAACATAAAGTTATATGCATTTGTGATCGTATATGTGTTAGAATTTATTAAAGATCAGAAAGTGACTGATACTCATTTAAGAGTTTATCTTCATTTAGTTAGAGTCGAGAACTTCTTAGGTTATATCATGGACCATCACAAACTGGTATTACAGGATGTTATCTACACTGACAAGTTGGAGTTTTATAAAATATGATTTGTAATATAAACTAGATAACTCAGAGGGTTTTATTTGGCCATATTTTTGTTTATGCTTTGTTATAGCCTTTATTCATTGTTTCCATGTGTTTTCATCCTTCAGGATATCTTCAAGAAGCCTACTTGTGGACCAAACAAGTTCTGACCATCATGGAGAAATCTCTGGTCTTGCTCAGGGAGGTGATGGATGGCTCCCTCTATGAAGGAGTTGCTTATGGCACCTACACCACTAGATCACTCTTCCAATACATGTTTCTTGTCCAGAGGCACTTCGACATCAACCACTTTGGCCATCCGTGGCTTAAGCAGCACTTTGCATTTATGTATAGAACCATCCTGCCAGGTATAGTGAGGAGTTGAAGTGTGAAAATGTTAAACTATTTTAATTTTTTCTGATTATCAAAATGAGCCAGACTAGGCAGAGAAATGAGGTCCTTAGAGGTTGTCATATTGAAATTAAAGAGATTTTTCTTTAATCAAAGAAAAATTGAATTCAAGAGTTGCATATAGCTAGAATATTTTGGAAGCTAATATGAATATTTATGATTTAGGTATTATAAAGCTTGGAGGATAATGGATTAAATACAATTTCTACACCCCACAGTACTTTAATTTTTTTATATATCCAAACTTGAGTTCATATACAAACTCATCTTTATCACTGTAAGGAAAATGTAAATATTTATGATTACACGTCAGTTTTCCTTTATATGTGATCCCTGATCAATCCTATTTTAATTTTTAGTTTTTAATCTTTTCTTTCAAATTATACCAACATGATTCAAAATGAAAGATTACACCTACACAGTTAAGTTGGAGCTTTAGTATTTTAATATTTTATTGAAGTAAATAGTATAGAAAAGCAATCAAAAAATAATTTGCTGTAAAACTTCTAATTTCTTGTCACTGTGCCATTTAGCCTTTTAAGAGAATTAGTTCTAAAAAAAAAAAGATATACATGATTTAATAATGTATTCATTTCTAGAGAACTTTGTAAACTTTTTTTATTTCTAAAACAGGACTAAGATGTTAGAACAAGTTATAAAGGGAAATTTTTACAGGATAGATTCCCCCACTTCTTTCTCCTCTCCCAAAGGAAATGTAATTTTTAGATGGTGATTCTAGATCTACAACAAAGAACTCAGTATTTAAATATTTTTGCTATGGTAGTACACATACAGATTAGATAGAATGTTTATTATTGGACTAGTTGTCCAAAAAATATTGCAGAGCATAAAAACCATTTTAAGATTTAGTTTAGACTTACATTAAAAAAAATCTTGCTTTGTTGCTTTTCTTAGACCTGAAGGAGAAGGCTGTTTTGCAACTCATCTTAGTAAACAAAGGCTACCTGAACAAGGGACCTTTAAGAGGTCTCTGCTTTGTAATTTAAGCTGAGATCTAAAGGCTAACTCTATCAGGAACTGTGTTTGCTATAAGCTATGTCTGTGGCTACTTCTTAAAATGGAAAAGACAGAATGAACATCTCTAAGAGCAGCATTTATATGTTTCTGTTAATTAAACAAACTTACTGAACATTTGTATTCCAGGCAATGTACTAGGCAGAGGATTCAAAGAGGAATAAAACACATCTCCTGCTTTCAAGGAATTCACAGACTAGTAGATTTAGAAAATAGCATTTTATAATAAGGTGTACTTACAAGATCATTTACTAAACTATTAGTAACAAAAACATTAGCTGTAAATTATGTAAATATAATCGTGATAACACTTTAGAAGAGGTTGAAATGTAGTTGAAAACAGATTGCTATGTTATTGCAATCTACATAACAGTTTTTCTCTACAGTTGATATTCTAGTAGCAATTTTTTTTTGTCTGTCTGAGTTTTCACCCATGCTGCCCCTTTTTTCATGAACACATGGAGCATATCCAGTGTTACCTGCTTTTATTTTCCTCCCTATTCGAAAAATGATATATGGATTTATGGTCCTCGCATTTTCTTTCCTTTAACTTCCAGCAGCACATGCTGGCAGGAGCTATTCTGGGAATTAAATTTTCTTCCTGTAGAAACTCAGTTTCTTCCCTGAACTTTATATATAGTATAACTTACACTTTATTGAAGCCAAATTGAAGCATGTTATTTTATTATCTTGGCCTAGAACGCATGTTGAATTGTGGGAGAGCTAGTGTTCATTCCAGGTTCAGGAACCCAAACTATACAAGAAAATATCCCATGTATATATGCAAATATAATCATATATAGCATGAACATTGGAAAATGAGGAAGGCAGGAAATAAATGTAGCACTTCTGTTACCAATGACAGGCTGCCACATAACAAATACAAGCTTGCACACAATCTATTTGGAAAATCTTCTGAGGGATTCTGATTAACTGTTAGGGATAAAATGTGAAGATTGTGACTTTTCTTTTATTTTATCCCTTCCATTACACAATTCTAATTTACAATTAGATTTAAAAATCATTGTTTAGACCTGTGTAGGAGTATGAAGTTTTAAATGTATCTTTTGTTTGCCTAGGGTTTCAAAGGACTGTGGCTATTGCAGACTCAAATTACAACTGGTTTTATGGTCCAGAAAGCCAGTTAGTGTTCCTTGATAAATTTGTCATGCGTAACGGCAGTGGTAACTGGCTAGCTGACCAAATCAGAAGGAACCGTGTGGTGGAAGGTCCGGGAACACCATCCAAAGGGCAGCGCTGGTGCACTCTGCACACGGAATTTCTCTGGTATGACACATTGGGCTAGCTGTAAAGAGGAATGGTACCCAAGGGTACTATTCGTGCTGTGCACTTGCTTTTTGCATTTAAAAAGAAAAACTTATCTAAAACACTTTTTAAATCTTTTCTCCATACCACCTAAGTATATGAAGCTTCATTTCAACTCATATCACAGTTTTTGAAACTGTTAGAAGCTTTTTTTTTTAAATTTCAACTTTAAGGGTAATGTATACTATATCCAGGTAATGAGCATTGTCTCCTAATAGGTAGTGTCAGAAACATTTCTGTATGTTTAACATCTAATTACTGTTCTCAGCGATGTCCTACACTTGCACTAGTTCATAAATAAGCATGTTTTGATTTTACATCATTTTTCAAATCATATAAAACAAAACACACAAAATTGAGACTAGGTTATTCTGATAATCTCACCAAAAAAGGTATTAAAATATTTTGTTTTATTTTAGTAAATGGAGCATTATAATCTTCTAATAGCCAAGCTGTTACTAAATTTTCAAAAGTGTTTAGAAGTGTTTGACAGTAGTTGACAGCTTCACTTTGATAATAAAAGAACCGTGTAAATTTTTTTGCCTTAATCTTTTAAGCCCAGAAAGAGAAGCTTGGATCTCCTTTTTAAAGTATTGCCAAATATATTGTTGGCATCCAATAAGTTAAAATCAAAATTACAGGGAACTTGTTAATCATTAATCCCTGGTGTCTTTTCAAGCTGTTGAAATTTGCATTCAACTCCAAAACGAGCTTTCTTGTGATTTGCTTCTCTTTATTCTTTTTTTTCCAAAATATAAAAAATTAAGGAGGAAAAAATATTAGTAAAATGGTAACTGTCTATAGTTTAACAAACATTTTAAGATTATTTTTATAAATGAACTAAATACATTAAGATGCAACTATCACTGAGTTCTCTCAGAAGTATGACATAATTAGTTATAGTGTGATCCATCAATGTTACACATAAATATTCAACCAAGAGAGTTCTATAAAGCTAACTACAGGATTAATATGATAGCTCAGATTAATGCTAAGTCTAAATTAAAAGTCTGCCTTTATGGCAATATGCAAACTAACTAAAAACTGAGAGTAGGATGGCCAATTCAGCTTACATCTCCCCTTGTTAAATCACATTAATTAAGCCAACATTATACTAGAGCTAAGTAGAGATATAATTTTAATTTCTTGAAACTGAGACTTTAGAACAGCAAATGAAACAGTTAAAGTCAAAACCAATAAGACTAACTCTACTGTAGATGATGGATTCACATTAGGGAAAAGTATATAGTGCTAATAATAAACATTTATTATGAATAAAAATAAGAAGTAATTTATTGTCCAGGAAGCATGGAATCATCTGCAAATTAAAACAAAATCAAACCTTTGGTCCTGGCTAGTCAGTGGTAGGCACAATTATAAATCCTCCGGTATAAGACAGTTTCCTGAAACTTCATCCATTCATATTCTGAGATGTTGTGTTGGTGATACATTTCATCTAATATTGGAAGTTCTCCTCTATTTTAGTTTATTTTTTCAAGGAAAAACATCTTGAGGGAGAGCTGTTTTCAAAAAACCCAACATTCAATAATATCAGTTACTGCAGAACTGTACTTCGTTACAACTCAAGGTTTGTTAAGAGTCCAGATCCAAACATGACATTTCTAGAAGAGGAGTTTCTCAACCAGAAATTTGGATGAAGTACTAAAATCCATGAGGCCCAGGAGTTTGGATGGTCACTCTGACCATCAAGTGAAGATGGTCCATGTAGAGATTAGGGCAGAAATCATTGCAACCCCAAACCCAAGGATCACAAATGATAAAGAAATAAAGAAATACTCCTCTTCCAGTCACCAAGGGTTTCCCCTTGTGCATACTGATTGTCCTTGGGTGTTTTCAGAAATGTCCCTAATACACTCTGCACTGCCAGTGCTCTGGGTAGCATTTGTGTGTCACTTCTTCCACATTACCATGGTATGTGTTATTTTTACTTTCATCAGAAAACCATTTAATTTTTAAAAATTAATTTCAGGTATGATGCCAGCTTGAAATCGGTTCCCCCTCCGGACTTTGGCACCCCTACACTGCATTATTTTGAAGACTGGGGTGTCGTGACTTATGGAAGTGCACTACCTGCAGAAATCAATAGATCTTTCCTTTCCTTCAAGTCTGGAAAATTGGGGGGACGTGCAATATATGACATTGTCCACAGAAACAAATACAAAGATTGGATCAAAGGATGGAGAAATTTTAATGCAGGACATGAACATCCTGATCAAAACTCATTTACTTTTGCTCCCAATGGTGTACCTTTCATTACTGAGGCTCTGTATGGGCCAAAGTATACCTTCTTCAACAATGTTTTGATGTTTTCCCCAGCTGTGTCAAAGAGCTGCTTTTCTCCTTGGGAGGGTCAGGTCACAGAAGACTGCTCATCAAAATGGTCTAAATACAAGCACGACCTGGCAGCTAGTTGTCAGGGGAGAGTAGTTGCAGCAGAGGAGAAAAATGGGGTGGTTTTCATCCGAGGAGAAGGTGTGGGAGCTTATAACCCCCATCTCAATCTGAAGAATGTTCAGAGGAATCTCATCCTCCTACATCCACAGCTGCTTCTCCTTGTAGACCAAATACACCTGGGAGAGGAGAGTCCTCTGGAGATAGCAGCAAGCTTCTTCCACAATGTGGATGTTCCTTTTGAGGAGACTATGGTAGATGGTGTCCATGGGGCTTTCATCAGGCAGAGAGACGGTCTCTATAAAATGTACTGGATGGATGATACTGGCTACAGTGAGAAAGCAACCTTTGCCTCAGTGACCTATCCTAGGGGCTATCCCTACAATGGGACAAACTATGTGAATGTCACCATGCACCTCCGAAGTCCCATCACTAGGGCAGCTTACCTCTTCATAGGGCCATCTATAGATGTTCAGAGCTTCACCATCCACGGGGACTCTCAGCAACTGGATGTGTTCGTAGCCACCAGTGAACATGCCTACACAACATACCTGTGGACAGATGAGGCCACAGGACAGTCTGCCTTTGCTCAGGTCATTGCTGATCATCACAAAATTCTGTTTGACCAGAATTCAGCCATCAAGACCAGCATTGTCCCTGAGGTGAAGGACTATGCTGCTATTGTGGAACAGAACCTGCAGCATTTTAAGCCAGTGTTTCAGCTGCTGGAGAAGCAGATACTGTCCCGAGTCCGGAACACAGCTAGCTTTCGGAAGACTGCTGAGCGCCTGCTGAGATTTTCAGATAAGAGACAGACTGAGGAGGCCATTGACAGGATTTTTGCCATATCACAGAAACAGCAGCAGCAAAGCAAGTCAAAGAAAAACCGAAGGGCAGGCAAACGCTATAAATTTGTGGATGCTGTCCCTGATATTTTTGCACAGATTGAAGTCAATGAGAAAAAGATTAGACAGAAAGCTCAGATTTTGGCAGAGAAAGAACTACCCATAGATGAAGATGAAGAAATGAAAGACCTTTTAGATTTTGCAGATGTAACATATGAGAAACATAAAAATGGAGGCTTGATGAAAGGCCGGTTTGGAGAGGCAAGGATGGTGACGACTACTCACAGCAGGGCCCCATCACTGTCTGCTTCCTATACCAGGTTGTTCCTGATCCTGAACATTGCTATTTTCTTTGTCATGTTGGCGATGCAACTGACTTATTTCCAGAGGGCCCAGAGCCTACATGGCCAAAGATGTCTTTATGCAGTTCTTCTAATAGATAGCTGTATTTTATTGTGGTTGTACTCTTCTTGTTCCCAATCACAGTGTTAGCACTGAAACTATAAATTGCCTGGTTATTTTGTGATCACAAGAGTCTATGCAAAATAATTTTATTACCCCAGTTTATCAGATTTTTTCCCTCAAATACATTTTAACAAATTAAGGGAAGATATTTTGACACAAGAAAGCAGGAACATGGAGAAATTGAAGCAGAAAAAAAATTTATCAAAGCAATAAAAATAGCTTGGTGGGTCCTATGGTGTTTCTGGAAGTATTTGGCATTGCTAACTGAGCAGTCCATATAGAACTAGTTTTAGAAGAAACAAAAAGTCTGTTTTTTAAAGTAATGTTTTTGCTTATGAGAAGAAGGTTTAGATAGAATTGGGTTTTATTAATATTAATTTAATGCTATTAACAATTTCCATATAGTATATTATGGAAAAGACTGAAGAATACAATTCTTAGAAATATTTAAAAATGTTTAATGGCATAGTCATGTTGAAAGAAGTGTTGCTAAGTCCTGGTATGATGGTGTCAGCTTCCTTGGGGAGGTACTTCTTTAGTTAGGTAACTAACAGGATCTTTTACTACAGATCCAGATGGCTGTTCAGATATCATAGCAAAAATGATAGCAGAAGGTCATTAAAAACTTAAAATATATTTTGTTAGAAAACATTTATCTATGAAGGAATATTTCCTTGATGCTGGTCTCTGCACACATATAATTGGTTACTTGTAGGCATTCATTGGTTGTTCAGTAAGTAAGATGATTACAGATAACTTAATACCATATTTTCCTTATATGGAAAACTGTTGTAGACTCATGACTAAACCTTTCAAAATAAAATATTATCTGTGATGGATGTTGATTTTAATACCAAAGAAGATGGAAAATCTAAAATTTGGAAATGATTCTTATGTTTTTTAATAGAAAACCTTCTTCAAGTTTATTTTGCTAAATAAACAGATTATAATTGTGAATTCTCTCTAATATCTTTCTTCTTTGTTCCATTATATTCAAGATACATTAACATTTTTCAAAATTTTTGAAGAGAGATATATATCTAGACATGTATTCATTAAATGTATAAAGTAGCGTTTGAATCAAAAGAAGTATTTTCTCTGCTTATTAACCTTAATTGTTTAAACACATTTTAAATATTTAAAACAATGGCCAACTTCTGATATTTAAGTAGCACCCAACTTTTAAAAGCGTAAAGTTTTCAGTCAACTCCTCAGAAGGTAACACAGCGTAGAATACTAGAAAAATATTCCACAGTTTCTATTTGAGCATAAGAAAATGACATACTTAAAAGGAACATAATAAATTATTGAGTCATATATTTCTCCTTTGAAATAGAAAATATGTTCAGCTCAAATTTTACAGTTAAGGACACACTCACTGATTTATATATAGGTGTATAATAACAATAGTAATCTTTCCTCTTGCTCTTTTAGTTCACAGCAATACCAGTATGTAACCAAAAGTCAAGTTGGAAAAACTTATGTGTATCTTTTTGCAGTTCTAATTTTGAACGGTCTTACATAAAGACAACACACGTTTGACTTTTAACTGTGCTTTACTTATTATGCTTGGAATCTAGAAAACGACTTCTGAGGAAGTAATTTTTTTCCCCCTCTCCTGGAAAGTCTCTAGGGAGGATGTCATTACACACTGTTTGAAAGAATAATGTTTTCAAAAGAATAATGCTTCCGTTTGTCCTGCATGGATGCTCTTACTAGGATTTAAACTTGCTTTATGTGACAGATTCTCCGTTTACTTAACCTCATTCGACATTCCTCTCTTTTTCTCATTCAAAAGGAGGAATTGTCTGAAATGATCAAAAGGAAATTTTGAAAAAAAAAAAAAATAGGAAAACTACTCTTTGAGGTTTACCAAGCAAACCTGATCTCAGATCCAAACTGAGACATACTTTGTAACAGAGATGAAAAGTGTAAGTGAGTGCCAAACTCGCTTTTCCTTTGTTTTCATTAGGTTAAGGCTAGACAATACTTCAGTCACCACAGCCTGATCCAGTCTAACATATTGGTTCATTTTTTAAATTATACATCTTTAAAACAAAATGAATTAAAATTACATGTGATGTTTTTTCTTCTAATGAACCTGGTACTTACTTCCTTAAAAAGAAATTTCCTCAGGCAATGATTTAAGTGGTTAAGTGAAAAAAAAAATGCTAAAACAAATCACAGGTCTTTATAATGAAACACGTTTTCTATCAGGGATAGTGCATATTTGAGTAAAACTAAGGAACTTTTGGTAACTTGAAAACCAAGCAAGTTAAATCTCTTTTGAAACTGAGTAATCAATTATGGAATCTGTTTCATTGCAGCTCACTATGACAGGAGTGTTTCAAGTTTATTGGATAATATGTGAGCTATTGTTCAGGGGATTGGTGGGACTCTTGGTCCTGACCCTGTTTTGGTTTTATTTATTTATTTTTTTGGTATATTCCCTTGTTTGTAACTGATCAGCTTATTTCAGTTGATGGTAGATGAAATTTATGATGGTAGAGACCCAGAATCTTCTGATAACATTCTTTTGAGAACATTCTTTTAATTGTGAAAGTTAGGTGGAAGACCTCGTTCTGGAACTAACATAATTATTAAAATGTATTGTATCACCTAAGATATTTTTCCACAAATATTTTAGTCATAGTTTTAAAGTACCACATGTTCTTAGGTTATCAGAAAATATCTGAACAGAATGTTTTGCATACTGAATAATTTGTTTTTAAAAACGAAAATTTACATTTGACTTACTCAGTGTTTAAAAAATTACTTTTATTTCTAGAGACAGGGTCTCTCTCCATCACCCAAGCTGAAGTGTAATGGCGTGATCATAACTCACTGCAGCCTCAAATTCCCCATCTCAAATCATTCTTCTGCCTCAGCCTTCCAAAGTGCTGGGATTAGAGGCATGAGCCCTCACCCCCAGCCAAGTTAAAAAGAAAATGTGATAGTTCACAAACCACTCACAAAAGAATCTGAAATTTCCCCAAGTGTTTGAGAAAGAAAACTATGAAATGCTATATTTGTAAACTTAAATGTAAACTCCTGTGTTTTCTTATAAATATAAAACAAGATTAAAATGGATATAGTCATGGGTATGAGGGGTATGTAATTTATCTTCCAAGTCTCAAAGAGTTAAAGGTGGAGCAATTAATTGTTATTCCCAAACAACAGAAATAAACCGAGATTATACTAGGTGAACTGGGGCATATGGTCATCTTTGTCATAGATCAATTCAGGAAAAAGGAGTTAGGGAAGTCTGTGAAGGTCTAACTCAAAGCTTCGTGCTTAAAAAGGAACTTGAGATGACCTGAATGAGTCCCCTAAATCTGCAGACGAGGAAATCAAGGCTTAAGCCGGGGGACCTGATCCTTTCCCTGTTCCCTGTGTATTCCTTGTCTGTGGCAAAGCCCATTGGCTTGATTCTCTTCTCTTTAGCTTCATGTAGAGAAGTCGTTTCTGCAGCTTATTTAATTTACTGGCAAAATGACGTATTTTTTTTCAGCAGTGTTTCAGCTAGATATTTGCTTTATGCATGTAATGTCAATGAAGTACTCATAAGTTTTCAAGAAATGACTGAGATAAATCATACATTCCACTACATAGTCTAAATATTTAGTTTGGTCATCTATTTTAATATGTTCGACTTCTGTTAAACAAGACATGTAGTCACTCTGTGAAGAATAAAAATAGACAACGTTGCATTATGACTTTTCTTCTTGGGTATACAGTTTCCCTCTTGGTTTTGAGATTTTTTAAACTGAATTTTTGTTTGGCATAAATTATAAACATCCATGATGGGAAAAGTAAAATAGTATTAGAAGGCTTATTTAAATAAATAAATAAATCCTCTGTTCCTTCCCTTCTCATTCTTAGTTTGTACTTCCCAGAAGTAACCAATTTCTAATTCTTTTTGCTGTTATATCTATTATGTACTTGTTTACAATAAGGTCTAAAACTAGCTACTAATGAAGATTTAGCTCTCTTATCCATTCCCCTCTTTCTTTATACCTATTGGAAGATAATAGGTGCTATGGAAGGAAAAGGCAGGGTAAGGAGACTGGGAAGAGGAGGTTGTAATTTTTAAATGTCGTGATCAGGCTAGCCTTTGTTGATGTCTCCACTTCTATTTGTCATTTTAAAAATCTATTTACTGTCAATGTAGTGGGGTTTTAAGAAGGAACTCAAGGAAATTTATATATTGAGTGCAGTATGTTTAAATGGAGGTCCCATATCACTTTTCAGTTGAGTTGACAAATAACAAGAATGACAATAACATGTTTACAGAGCATCTACTATATGTAAAGTATTGCTTAGGAACTGAAGATATGGAAGAGAATAGGAATAATAAAAGCTGGTCCTCATATTGTTTATGTTCTAGTGGGGGCAAATAATAATAATAGCTGTAATAGTGCAGGATGTCAAGTAGTGGTAAGTACCATGGAGAATAAAGGGGGTGTGTAAGGTGATGATGAACTGGTACTGTCCCATAAACAGTGGTTTCTGATGTGATTACTTGTGATGAGACACTTGAAAGAAATAAGGGAATGACCACAGGGACATCTAAGAGAGAGGAGCATTCCAGATAGAACAGCAGTGTGAAGGCCCTGAGCTCAGTATGTGTTTGGTGCCTTCAGGACTAGGAGGAGAGGGTGGCTAGAGCAAAGGGATGAGGGGAGGGTGATAGGAACAGGATCAGATCATACATACTGTGATAGACTACAGCAAAGACTTGGACTGTGAGGTGGGGAGTCACTTGCAATGCACTGAGATGTGGCTGACTAGAAGGAATAAGTAGTGGAAGTGGGTCCCAAAGGTTGTTGTGACCATGTTAAATTTAAGATACTTTCTAAAATTCAAGTGGAGATGTGCAAGCCTGGAATCCAGGGGCAGGTTCTAGCTGAAGGTGTAATTGTTGGTGCCTTTTTTTTTTTTTTTTTTTTTTTAGACGGAGTTTCGCTCTTGTTTCCCAGGCTGGAGTGCAATGGCACAATCTCGGCTCACTGCAACCTCCGCCTCCTGGATTCAGGTAATTCTCCTGCCTCAGCCTCCTGAGTAGCTGGGATTACAGGCACGCGCCACCATGCCCAGCTAATTTTTTGTATTTTTAGTAGAGACAGGGTTTCACCATGTTGACCAGGATGGCCGCGATCTCTTGACCTCGTGATCCACCCGCCTCGGCCTCCCAAAGTGCTGGGATGACAGGCGTGAGCCACCCTGCCCGGCTGATGCCTTCTTAAAGGTTAAACAGAAATTTACTTGCTGTGTAAGAGAAGTATATTCTGGTTGAGTGAAATAGCATAAAGAAGCAAGTACGAAAAAGCAAACCTGGTTCAGGAATTCTCCAGATTGGTGGTGTTGGCCCACAGGGCATGTGATGGGGAATGTGTGAAGATCAAACTGAAAAGGCAAACAGGGAGCTATTGTGCAGGACTTTGTAAGACATGCTAAGGAATCTGGTCTTTATTCTGCCATGATGGCTGCTCAACCATTTTTATGCCTCAGCATAACTGAGGGCTACAATGTAAAACCCATCACTCAGCAAGCATGGCAGCAATTTTCATGGGATAGGAAATGTGTATGGGAGCAAAAGGGACATGGGTGAGGGGTGGCAATGATGTCACACGTACCTGTGCATGCAAAACTTTGAAAAATCCCCGAGGTGGTTATGATATGCCCCCCCATATTCCATATGTTTACCCCCTGGGGTGGGGGGGGCAGTGAGGGGATCCCCCCTACTTAGAAATCACAACAAGCAATGGCAAGCCATTAAAAAAATTTTTTTTAAATAATCAGATTTGCATATGAGAAAGGCAATTTTAGCTTCAGTGTAGAAAGTGCACCCAATGATGAAGAGGTGAAGAAGCAATTTTCATAGTCTGGGTAGAAGGCAATTAGCTCCCTGAATATGTCTGGTGAGGGAATGTTTAACTCCTAGCTCACGAGCAAAA